GATGCCATGCTAATTTACATCATTCAGCCCTTTCACTGCCAAACTGTAAAAGTCCATTAAGTGACTGAAAGGAATATACAAATTATCCACTGGCACTCCAGGCTGGAGTTTTACATACACCCTGTTATTCTCTCCGCCAGCTAGCTGCAAGATTCTATTAAGCAGTAAGTGAGAAAATTATATTGCCTGCAAACTAATTGTACAAAAGACTCTGAAATAAGTAATCAGAGCCCGGGACTTTCTGAAAAGCCGCCAGGAGATATTATAAATTGCTCTATCATTCTTGTCAGCCTGGTTTAAAAATCCAGAGCTTCCATGTTGATTTGGTTCCCTCTGCAGCAGAGCACACTTCCCTAGCTATTGACAAAACTGGGAAAGTTCCAGTCGTGTCATCAGTAGCTGCCCAATTCAGTCCCTGGTGCCATCTAACAAATGTGTCCCAGAAAATAGCAAGCTGTAATCCAAGAAAACTCCGTGTCTGAAATGAAAAATCCTATGCTGTGAACAATAACTTCTGCATCCTCCTGAGTGAATATCCAGTGTTCACATTCCAGGTGCCCATAGTTGCTACTGGAAATATTTTTGTCTAGTTTCCACTTTTAGAGAATGGAAGGAAAACAAGTGCCCCGTAGAGATCATATGGTCTACTGGGAGTAATGTCTTTGAACCATTACCAAAATAGATGTAACATCGTTACCCAGGTGCTTGGGGCAGCACATTTTTAGGATGAAATCCTTTCTTTATGGAATAGAAAAAGCACCAGGGAAGGTTTTTCAAGGGCACAATTTCTGTAGACTCTAACATGGATCAAAGACTTTGTTGGGTGGGTGATCATAGCCAACAACAATGAACTGAGTAACTCAATGGGAGGGCTTGGAAATTAGAGAGGTTTTCCTCCAGCAAATAAGTTATTTACAATGATGTTGACTTGTTTTTCAAGATACAAACCAGAGTCACTTAGTGAAATCAAGGTTATCCATATGTGTCAAGGCAACTTTATTGAAAAAAATATTTGTGAAAGGGACCCAGTTAATCAGAAACAATTTCTATACACTTCAACTGAAAATATATTGTTTGTGAAGACACTAGGACCACTATGTCTTCCATCCTTTCATGGTGAAATTTTTACACATATGTTGTATTTGCTGTCACTCTGGGAAGAGTCCTTTACCTCCTTCACCCCAACGTAGTCATTTCTTTACTTTTCATGGCATAGTTCAAGCATTTGCTCCTAGTGAAGAATTTGCTGATCTTCCCAAGCATAATCTCTGTGTTTGTGGGAATGTATGTACTTACCAGTATGCCAGTACTGCATCCTGAACCATGATACCACCCACTAAACTGCATTGTTTGTTTATACGTCTTGTCTCCTCTTGGTGGACTCCTTAATATCAGGAACCACCTCTCTCTATCCCAAACCAGCCATAATACAAAACTCCTGGCTCATCGATTAGCACTGAGGATTCAACAAGGAATAACACAGAGGTCCTACTTCGAGACTTCATTCTAACACACTAGGAAAACCTCCCCTGCTTTTACATTTCTCCTTATCATTGAAGAATTATAGAATGTAATGGATAAAAAGGAGACCAGAGTCCTTTAAATGTGATCTAAAACTCTCATATCATTATTTGACAGATTTCCTTCTGCCTTTTGAAGAGATTTAAAATCTTTACATAATTATTCCTAGATGAGTCATTCATAGATTTAGCTACTACTATTGAATCAATCCTAAATATTTTCTCCAATGTAGCTCCAGTTCTGAGAGCACTCATTTTGTCAATACCAATAAGAATTGTATAGTAAGATAAAAATTATGTAACTCATTTAGCACCATCTATCTGTATTATTTTATTTTTCTTTTATTTTTATCCTATTCACATCAGTATGGATTTTTATTTCCCATATAATATAATTTCCTTTATGATTTCCTCTTTTATTCACACTTCACTCCTCAGAAGCTTTTGTAAATTTTTTGGCATAATCTTTCCCCTTTTGTTACACTTTTTTCCATTTTTGTCAAAGCTACTGTTCACAATTTTGAAAAATTAACTAGACTTTTTTTTTTTTTTTTGAGACAGAGTTTCGCTCTTGTTGCCCAAGCTGGAGTGCAATGGCTCACTGCAACCTCCGTCTCCTGGGTTCAAGCGATTCGCCTACCTCAGCCTCCCACGTAGCTGGGATTACAGGCATGCACCACCACACCTGGCCTCCCAAAGTGTTGGAATTACAGGCGTGAGCCACTGTGCCCAGCTTGGATGGTTTTTATACCGCATAAAAAATGTCCATTGTCCTCTAGTGTCTTACCATCCAATGGGTAATATGTGTGTGAAAGGTATAACAAAATATGGTCTGCCTGGATATGATGAGAGTACCTGAAAAGGTATGAAAACCAAGAAATCATATTCTGGGATAGTCAGAGAAGTTTTCATGAAAGATTGGAATGGAGTTGGACTTGAACAAGGAGCCTTGGAAATATTTTAAGTAGAAAAAGTGGCAAAGATAGATAATTCTCAGAGGAAAGTTTGAAGGACACTTAGCAAAAAATGAATAAATCAAATTGGCTGCCTCAAAAAGTTCATGTCAGGTAACAATTGCAATATTGCTGGAAAAGTAAATGAAAGGCTGGGAGAAGACCCTGTTTGTAAGCCTTACAGTTTATATTTCATCCAGAAAGGCAAATAATTCTATTGATTTTTTAAAATCAGCGTCATGACGTGATCAAAGCAATCCTAGGGGAGAGGAAGATGACAGCGGTATGCCGCGTGGATTAGAGTGGGTCAGGACGGAGGCAAAAAGCCCAGGGAGGGGATAACTGCCATAGTCCAGGTGTGAGCTCACACATGCCTGATGTGCATTCTTGTCAGAAGTTTGTTGATATGAAGGATGGGGATACAGTTTTCAAAGAGGAAGTGGAACAGGTTTGAAAAGAATGATGATTATGTTTGTGGCAGTGGATCATCCTGGTAGAAGTTTTTAGCACTGGGTTAAAGGTGGGTAGGACTAGCACTCATACCTTGATAAGGGAAGTGATGAAAGTGTTACTTCATACTGACTTTTCAGGCAGAAAAAAGGAAAAGAATGCTGTTTGGCAAACTTTTTTTTTTTCTCTTTCTTTCTGTTCCTTTTAACCAGTCACTGTTCAGTCCTTCCTAAGACAGCAAAGACCTGTTTCTTTTTAAGTAAGTGTAGGGGGAGCCGTACAGGTTGGAAGGATCTAGTAGTCGAATACTAATTAACCCTTAGAAAATTACTAGCAAAACTCTTTTGATGCAAAATAAATATTCAGAAATGGTTAAAGAAACTCTGCAGTGAAGAATGTTTCATCTAAAGTTCAGATTATAAATCCTTTTATCCTTCACTGTGACCCAGTCACTCTGGTTTCTTTGAATTATCCTTGGTTTTCTAAGAGTATAGCATCAGTAATATCTCCAAGGAAGGTGATGGTATATACTTCTGTTGATGCAATTAATATTACTCTTATTATTTAACCTCCTGTTAAAAAGTAGTTGCTTTTTTTATTATAAATGCCATGAATTAGTATGCTAATTTAGGCAATTTTGATAGGCTATCTCAAATTATAATGTGTTTCTTTCAAGTCATGCATACTTAACCAGTTTTCAGTAGTTATAAGTGGTTAGGTATTACTTCCTGTTGAATTAGCAGTTGCTGAGTAGTTGAGTCTTTGTACTACCCTGCAATCCACTAATGTGATATTTAATGAGGAGACATCAGTCTGAAGAAAGGTAGTCAATATAAATCAGTGTTTACAAAGTGTGATTAACTCTGAAATATTTCATCAATGCTGTGGTCCCAGGCAGACTCTATGCTAATTACTAGAATCTGCGCATGTTTCAGGGGACTTGGATGGACCCTGAGTATAGCAAGCATGGAGCAGCAAAATTGCAATTATGCTCGGACCATCTCTGATGACAATTTATGCATTTGGTGTGATGACCTCCCCCTTCCCAAGAGGGCAATAAACAGAATGCATTTTCATTAAGATACTAATGCACTTAATCACAAGGGGAAAGGGTTAGGAAGTAACGAAAGACCTTCAAGCACTATGTGACAGAGCTGATAGGGGAGAAAAGCTTTATTTTAAAGGCAGCTTCTTTACAAAGCTGTAGGCAGCCCCAAAGCACATCCCACACACTGCCATTGGTACTAATTGAAAAAAAAATTTAGTTTGGATCTTCTTGTGGTTTCTTAGTTACCATTTTAAATATGTAGGTACTACCATAAGTGATACAAAGTCTAATATTAAAAATATATAATTTTGTAGCAATTTATTCTTTGGTCTCACATCAGGGAACTTCAGTGTTTGGAATTAATTATGCAAATTATGTAACACACATCATGATGATGATGATGATGATAATGGTGATGACCATCATCTTCATTATCATCACCATCATCAGGAAGCATTTACCCAGCACAGAATTGTGTTGTAAGGCTCTGGTAAGTGCTAAAGCAACAACTAGGTAATTTCTGTCCCTACCCTCTAGGAGCTTACTATAACATCCCAGATTTGTTTACATACCATTTTCCACAGTGAAGTTTATATTGTTCAATGTCAGAAAGACAAGAAGCCTGATGCACCAAAGTATTAGGAAACAGAATAAATCCAGGATTGGCAATCCAAGAATCTGGTTTTGATATTTGTGTTGTCATGAACATAATCTATTTTGAAATTTCTTTTGGATCACAAGATTCTGGAAGACTCTTCCTTCGCATGGGTGGACTCAGCATAATGTTTTGAAGGCTAATTTTAAAGTTCATCTTTTGAAGCATTTTGCCATGTGTGTTCTCCTTGCCCCACGTATCTTTTGTGATTATAGCAGAGCATCTAGCTTGGTATTTGTGTCATTTCTGTTGAGTCTCATGTGACATTTTTCGGGGTGGGGAAGTAAGAATAATAGAGTTGACATTGCCTTTGGGATGCTAATGTTTTCTGGATCTTGCAAATCTGACAACTTTTCTTCAAACTTGTGTTGTAGGCAATATAGAATACAGCTGCCCTGCCACGAATGAATGTGAAATCACAAAGCGCAGACGTAAATCCTGCCAGGCTTGCCGCTTCATGAAGTGTTTAAAAGTGGGCATGCTGAAAGAAGGTAAGGCTCTTTTCTAGTGCCCCTGAGCTTTTGATTTTGGTGTGGGGATGGGAGGCAAAAAATTCCACCAATTTTAGAGAAACCAGAAAAAGATGAGGTAACAGTAAGTACTCTGACTCTGATGGCAGAATACTCCTTATATACCTGGACTTTCTGATAACTTATGGCTAACCACTTGACACTGACAGGAAGGGACAAGGTAGGAGAAGCTGATGTACAGCCAAACACACCAGGTATGCTTGACCGTAGTGCTTTTTTCTTCTTTACAATTTGCAGAAAGCAAAGGATGAAGACAAACCAAGAGGCTACCGCCATTGAATTTTTGGTTTTCTTCTCATTACTGGGTTTGCAGAGAGTGTTTTTTTTTTTTTTTTTTTTAATTTATCTTGGATTTAAAGTACTCTTTATTCTTTCCCAACCTTATCTTTTAGAGTTTATTTTCTATTACAAATGGCTTGAAATATGACATTAAAATTGCTTTCTATTTGCTTTCAGTTGGGGATAACTACAGCAAACATAAAATAGTAACAGTGACATGTATTCTGTGCTAAACAAATTGCTTAAGCTCACACAGTTTATAATTGGTGGAGCCAGGAACTGAGCCCATTGATTCTAGATGCCGCTCAACTATTCCACGCATGTCGAAGGTCCTGAAATATTTGTATATTTCAGCATTTCTAGTGAAACTCACATGTTAGCTTGGAGATGGATAAAATGTTTTCTTTACTTTGTGAAGCCTGTGATTCAGTTTTTGTTCTTTTACACATTGCTGTACTTGTGTGTGTGTTTGTAAATGTGCATTTTTACATGCTGCATTTAGAATTTTGTTTCCTTTTCTTCAGAAAATTCACCAGGTTTGAAATGAACACAGTTTTATAAAGTAACACAATGAAATGTTGGGAATTAATGTTTGACAGAAAATTTGATTCATTAAATATTTAAATGTATAACTTCTGTTGCATCACAGAACTATGCTTTGTTTGTGGGGCTTGTCCTATTATTATATTTTGTTCTTACTGGAGATCCCCTATTTTTCTAGTCCATCGCCTTAACCACTCGGCCACGACTACTGGCAGTGAGATCCCCTATTTTTTAACTTTTAAATCCAAATAGGCTCACATATTAATTCACCAACAGTGAATCAGAGTGTAAATGAGTGAGTGCCGTCACGTGGTGTCATAATTTTTCCTGATTTGTTCTTCTTTCAAGATTTTTACTGTGAACAATATTATAGGAAGATGAGTGGATCAGATTATGTTTGGATATATGGAATTCACATAGTATTTCTCTGACTTTTACTTATCAAATAGGAACAAAGAAGACACTCTTAAATTCTTCTAGTCTTCAACTTTGCTCTTCCCTTGAGAAAGAGCTATAAACAAAGAAGTGTATAATGTTATGATAAAGTTTTACAAAAAGATGACCAAGATACATTACTAAGTAAATAATATATAAGAACAAGTTTTTTAATAGTATGATTCATTATATGTGTGTGTGTGTGTGTGTGTATACATATATATATGTATGTAGAGAGAGATGGAAAGGAGAATGGCTGGCAGACATTGTACACACTGTGATGGATATACATATGTGTATACATGGAGAAGTAGAAGGAAGGAAGGATACCTAAAGATTGGTAACAGTGTCACATTGGTGAATGAAAATGAGGATGGGGGTACTTTTTATGGTATAGCCTTTGACCCTTTTAGGATTTTTCAGAGTTAACATGTTTTATGCTTGTAATCCATTTGCTGAATATGTACTAAGGTCTTCCCATATTCCAGACACTATTCCAGGCTCCAGTGATATGACAGTGAAAAAGACAGATTAGGTGGTTCTTACTAGAGAAAACTTACGTGAAATTGCCAGAAGGACAATTTTGATAAAGGAAAACATATAATTAAAACAACCACCACCCAACCCACATGACAGAGTTTTTCTTTCAGTTAGGATGATGGTGGTAGCTTACGTTTGTGGAGTCCTTTATCTTAGCCATTGCTTTAACCCCTATAGCAGAGTAACAAACAAAACATATTTCTGAAAGTTGGTGATCAGTGATTGACAGTCAATTTCTGGCCTTAATTATATTTATGTTGCCACTTAGTTTCATTGTAGAGACTCAAACTAAACTTATGCTCAATCAAAAAGACTTAATTAAGAGTGATTTCAAATCCTTGAAAGTTGAGGAATGATTATTTTTCAAAAGCAAATCCATTTTTAAGAAGTTGTAAAATTAATACAAGAATGAACACTTTGTGTTGATGTGGTATTTATCTAGATTTAGGTTTTATTTTGAAATACTGAATTACATGGAGCCACTTCTCGAATTCTAGGAATATGTAACTTTTTATTAGCTTGATTTACTGCTATAATTTACATACCATTTGCTTTTCCAGGTTTAAAGAAGATATTTTTCCTTAAATATTTTTTCCATTGTGATTTCTAGCAGGAACAATCCTGAAGGGCAGTAAGAGTGAATGAAGAGGTGTGAACTGTGTTTAATTAAACATTGTTGATGAAAGTGAATGGGGCAGTGCTTATCTATAATTCACACCTCTTCAATTGTTGTTATCAAGCAAGTATCTGTTTTCTAGGGAATTGCTGCTGTTGCTGATATACTCAAATAATAATTTATTTTCCTTTACTTCTTAATGCCCACTTTGATGGCAAAATATCAGTTCTTTAACCACCTCCGCCTACCTCCCACAACCACCAAATCAAAAGGATGGGATGGTTATGAGTAAATATGGAATATTGTTTTTCTTCTGTACTTAAAAAATGCAGTGAAATATTGCATGGTACCCTGCATATAAATGCACAATTATGTTTGACCATCTCCTTGGTTCAAGACTTGCTTTCTAAGCCTGGAGAGAATGATACTGTCTTAAATGTGTCTTTATGGATGGAGAGGGATTTCAGTCCCATGCAGTATGTCAGAGATCATGATGTAGTAAATCTATTCAAATGTAAACCTGTTCAATTCAATTACCAGTCCATAATAAAATTTGCTGCTACAACCCCCGTGTTGACCACAGCAGTCCATACAGGCTGATGGCACAGCAGGTCTGGAAATTGACAGACAAAATCTATTTAAACAAAAAACAACATTAGTTCTAGAATCTGAAATGAAATCAGATTTCAACAGCTTTGATGGGAACTTTCTCTCCTTTAACAGATATTTTTATTCAACTAGCCAAATCCATTGTAGATAAAATGTGACCTGAAGGAAATGAGGTTTTCATTAAAAGGATAGTTTATAGAAAAATGAGAATTATACTGTTTTTAAAATAATAATCCTTAGCTCTATTGACTGGCATTTCTATTAATTATGGCATCTCACTTTGAGAAGATATCTGAGCGTTGGTGGGAGTGTGAAGGAGAAAGTGATGGCTTAGTAGGTAAACAACTCCAGTTTCATCACATTGTACGTAATTAAAATTCTTATAAGATATGCTTTCTCATTAGCAAGCAATGGAATTATACTTGAATACACAACATTTGATTTTAATGTTAGAATTTTTCAAAAAAATTGTACCAGTTGAAGAAAAGGAAAACGTGTTGTCTTAGAGAAAGCAACAAAATGCTGAAATACAACAAAACTTTGAGAAGTACAGTAAAACAAATGATAATTTGTTGAAATCCAAGTGGTGGCACCATTCAGCATCCTGAAAAATCCTCTTTGTCTTTCTCTCTCCTCTACTTAGCTGGTAAGTGTCACAAATGATGGGCCAGCATTATTTTTTTCTGTCATTATACCATACTGTATGTCAGAGAAAGCCCATCTATTACATGATATCTGGTCTCAACATTCCCTTTTCATTTTTTTCAGGTATTGCTTATTTGAAGGAAAATAACAAGAACTAATCAAGGTGCACCTATAAATCTGGTCAAGATTTATTTTTATTTTGATCTCTCTCCTTGGTTATTTAAAGGCTATTGCAGGACATACTAGCTCAGTTTGCTTTCTGTCAGTAGCAAACAGAGACATTTTATGAAAGCAATAATCATTTTATTTAGGTATAGAATTCACTGATCAAAGGATTAAAGGCTGTTTTGATGTTTATTGGCACGATGGCTTTCACCCTGGCAGCTGAAATATTTTTCTTTTACTCTTGCAGGTGAGCAAAAGTCTCACATTCACTCACATTATATTCTTTAGCCAGGCCAGCCTGCATGCCAAAGTATAGATGAAACAAGGCAACTTAGAGGACCAGTTTTGTTATTTCATGCCAGAAAAGTGTGCTTTTTCTTTTACCTTAAAAAAATATTACTTAACTTTTCTAATCTCCTATTTTGTCATCTGTAAAATGATGGCACCACTAATAGTATTTGCAAACAAAGTGTTGTAAATATTCAATGAGATATTGTAGGTTGAGAGCTTAGCATACCGTGTGGCCTAGTGTAAGGACCGGGTCAACATTAGCTACTGTGGCCAGAGAGAGTAAGGGTCAAGATTCGGGGCCAGGTGGCTTGTAGATTCAAGACCTGATTCTACCACCTCTGAGACTTGGAGCAAGTTAAAGAACTTCTCTAAGACTCACTCACTTTAGCCTATTTATTTATAACTATGAGACTGAAGGTGGAACTTACTTTGTGAGGTTTTTGTGAAGACCAAGAGTTTTAATGTAGATACAGGGTCTAGTACATGCTTAGCAGGTGACGCTATGAGCTTGACTTGCTAGACCAACCCAAGGTCATGTAATTTGTTATCCACTGGCAATGTCAATGGCCTTAGGGGTGCTTTCCAAACTTTTTATAGAAGCACATCAATAAATGAAAATTTGCTCAGAAATTTCATGAGGAAATTTAGTCTTTAATATCTGACCTTAGGTCAAATGAAGAGAGACAACAGTGTAAAAAGGAAAAAAAGGGGCTTTAACCCAAGCAGAGGTTTTCACTAACAACGTTCGAGGTGAAGAAAGCTTTAAAATTACTGGTTTAGCTTCAGAAAGGAGAACTTACTCCTTTGTCTTCAAAGGAAAAAGAAGAGGAGGAAGAAG